TTTTTTTTTTTTGCCTTTTGTTTTCCCCCCCCCCCACCCCCCCCCCCGGGAGGAGGGCCTTCCCCTATTAAAGAAAGGGGGGGGGTGGGGGGGGGGGGAACGGAAACAAAGGGAGGGGGGGGATGTTTCCCTTTCCCCGCTTCCGTTAAACCACCCTTGTGGGAAGTTTATTGGCTGGGGGCAAACCCCCCCCCGGGGGGGGGAGGGGGTTTGGGGGGGGTCCCCCCCCCCCCCCCCCCAACTGTGTTTTTTGTAGAACGGCTCGGTCTTTGTTGCATTTGGGGGGCACCGCACAAGCCACAGCTTGAGTTGCGCTTGCGTGTCGCTGTTCTCTGAGAGATACCATCAACGCCTGTCTCTCTGTGTGTGTCTCTAACGGTATGTCTACCGACGCCAACCGTAGCCGTTCGAGCTGGGGTTAATCGTTCCCTTGGCGTGGAGAGGACTGTCGTGTAGAGCTGCATTGGTTGAGTGGATTCACCATAGGTGAGCGAGGCAGAGTTGCGGTAGAGCAGTGGCATTATCAGCGAACAACGACGAAACGACAAACTTTTGGAGGTCGAGGAGGAGGACGGGGGACGAATGTCCCAAGGAAGCTTGGTGTCTTCTGTTGTCAGGATGCGGGACGGTGCGTAACGCCGATGGCTTTGTCACGAACAAAGTGCAGTAGCACGACGGACAAGCATTGCTACCGTGGCAGTGTGTGATATGGCACCGGAGTGCGATCTACTTTGCATCATTCCGATCTTGGTTTATCGCACCCCGGTGCGTAACACCGATGAGTGCCATAACATTGCATCAGGCTCCCGGCATGCGCTCTCCTCTCCGCTTTAGGGCATGGCCTCAAGGTAGACATTGGGAAATGTTTCAATCAAAATCGCGCGGTTTTAAATCAGGAGACACCATGAGGTGCACGTGCACCACGATGACAAATTACACATGCCAATTTTTTCATCCTGTCCCCTTTTCTTGTCGCCGACAACTATCTCCTAGGCCATGCGTGCCGAAACCATGACGGAGAGCTACCCGCCCTACACAAAGACTTATCTTACACCCACAACAAGGGCACAGGCTTATCGTACCCACACAAGAAGGTTTTCCCTTCCCCCGACCCATCCTCGTACGAAGAGCAACAGATTGCCAGCGAGCTACCACCTCTCGGCACGCCTTTTACTACCAAGCGTACAGTCACCCACGCCCACTCACATGGCACAACCAGCCGCGTTTAAATGAACGGCGATCACAAAGAAACCCGCATCAGTTTTACGCGCACATCACACTTCGAAAATCAAACACGCAAGACTACGTTCATTGTTGCCGAGCCGGTCGAAATTAACACCCAAAATAATCGACTGTCCCTCCGGGCAACCGGGGTTGGTTTATCGACACCACGTATAGTCCCCAGGCGCATTTACATGTGGTACACGCCCAACTATCCCCCTCTCGAAGAGCGCCAGGATAAAACAAGGCAGGGCGGAGGGAAGCGCGCGGGATGTCCGAGGGAACAACATTTTGTTTGCAACCAACATCTATCTGCAATATCATTTCCTACACCACGTCAGCAACACGAAAAACTATAGACAGACGTTGGAGGGGACGGGATTCTCGTGCGAAGGTGCTTATAAGACCGCCCTTTTCTCCGCCCTTTGTGTAGAGAACCAAGAGCACTAGAAAATCTCGAGAAAACTACGCCTTCCCGTGGAAAATCCCACGAAGGTTTCCCATGATTTGTCGGTCCTACCCAGTGGGAATCTCCAACTCTCCCAAAGTCCCACCTTCGTCCCCTACCTACTCCAAGATCAGCTGAGCACTCCTCAACATTCCGATAGCTCTGCCGCTCTACACTCTCGTACTTGGCACATTCCGTACCCGCTTTGAACTCTGATAGTCCTTCACCGTTGGCAAGCTCTCGCTTCGTGTGCCGTTTCGAGGAAACCCAAAGCGCCACTCGGTGAAGTTCGTGGCATCGTTAGCCGATCACCCTAAATGTTGAGCGCAAGCTCTCAGCAACGTTTCCACAAGGGGAAAAGCCCCAAAAAACATTCTCTTGAACGGTCAACCTACTCAACTGCTTAGAAATGACGCGCTTACCCGCATGGAAGAACTTTGCCATTGCACTCACCCGTCGCTGACGCTGTGAGTTGGGCAGACGTAGCCTTTTTCTTTGTGTGTGTGTGTTGCTTTTAGGCACTCTTGGCATGCCAAGGGAGCACTGCTAAACTGATCTGCAGAAAATGAACCGAGACACCTACCCAACACGCTTACATACACAGCAATAGCACTACTTGAGGAAAAAAAGTGTGGCAATGAGTGAAGATCTTTTGTATCTGGATCCACCGGAAAAAGAAACACACACACAAACAAGGCGCAATCTTAGCCCCCCGGCTACATCTCGTGGGGGGCTTGGTGCCTTTGGCAGAGCCGGCCCCGCTGCAGCAGCCTGCCTCTATCGCTTATTCCTACTTGGCAGTCAGGGAGGTGGGGGAGAGGGAGGTTTGTCACCGACTGCTTCCGCTATCATCCGCGTCCTCACTTCCTGTAGGATATCACCGAGCAGGTTTTGTCCCCGCCATGAGGACGGTGTTCTCGCCGCAGGGTTGTCGGCACGAAGCCCTATCCCCCACACGCGGTCGTAGGGGCTCGCTTCAGCCAAGAGCTTGTTGTTTCGTGTGTTTTCGGAAATGGGGGGGGGGGGGGGGGATCACGATTTGGTGGAGTGAGGGGGCGACGGCGTAGAGGAGGGATGTAGGAATTTGATCTCGATCATGCATAAGGTGATTTTTTCGACCGTTGAGTCCCAATCCTACACGACCGGGACAGAGAACGCCATGGCTGTCTTTCGACTAGGGGGGGGGGGATGAATCCGCGGTGGTGTCGTGCTGGAACGCGTTGGAAGGTGTTGGAAGAGATCGAACCGAGATTGAGCGTGGGATTTGATAGGAAAAGGGCATCACGGCTTTCAAGGCTACCGTCACAGGGCTAAATAAACGTTTTATAAGAGTCCAAACAACGAAACGTCATTGAACGCTGGTCGGAACGCGAGCCGTACTCATACGTACGCGTACTTCACAGCTTTCGCCAGCAGCTGAACGCCAAGAAAAAGCACGCGGTGCAGCCACGCACCTTTTCCCCGGTGTCAAGCAGGCGTTGCCCCATCATTTCGTTTTGGGTGAACTTGGCGTAGTTCCCCCGCGCCACAATGCGCATTTTGTGCTGGTCCCACACGTTCTGATCATACCCGCTTACGCCGCGGCCCAGGTCCTTGTGCTCCCTGCGAAATCGAGACCCCCGCGAAAAATGCTCAGCAGGAATTGGCCAGCGGTGTACTTGCTTGCCCCCAAGGCTGCCGAATGCGCGCCACCACTTTGAAGACACCCCTTGGGCGTCCGGTTTGGCAGCGTAGGTAGCGGTGGAGTTGACAAATATCCTCCTCCAAAAAACAGGAAACGTCTGCATCATGGTATCCTGGTTTGCCTAAAAGTCTAACTCAGTCGAATAGAAACGGATATGAGCAACCAAGTGTGACTGTATACCTGCCACGTGTGGCTGTATGTATACCTGGGGCTGGGCGTCGCCATGATCTTCTGCCAGCTACTATTGTCGCCGAAAAGCTTGGCCTTTTCTGCCATCATGTACTGTTCCGCGCAGCTGTACTGCACCTGCACGAAGCATGGAAAAAAGTGCGGTGTTTTTTCAGGGGAGCAAAGAGGGGATTGGGGCATGATCTCGAACGGGCTAACGTAGACGCCAGCAGCAGTCTTCCAAAAATACTTGCGTAAGGAACACGGCGTCAGCAAGAAGTCCCAAGAACCCTAGGGGCGCCCAACACAAGCTGTTGAGAAGCACGATGACCACTAGACCACTAGTCAGCGCTGACTAGTGGTCTAGTGGTCATCATGCTTCTCAACACAAGCTGTGTCCTTCGCCTCGAATGCTGCATACGCGCAGCGTGCCATATGCGCGTAGGGGTACACGATGCACGAGGAAAACATGTCACCACAGGCACAAACTACAAAGAGCCAGCGGGCGGGAGACTGGCTCACGTTGTCGACGACGAAAACCGAGGGCGTCCACTGCGAGAACACGGAAGGCGGCTGCCAAAAAAACAGCAAGTCTGGGGAAACGTACTCCCTCGTCCCGTCGAACCGGGTCGCGGCTGGGGCCGGTGATGATGATGCCTGAGCCTCCCGGCCGTGCGTAACACCGCAGTAATCATGGACACGTCCATTTGGTTCTATGAAGCACGGCCTTGAGCAACCGGGCAACTTGCAGGTGGGGGTTGGCGGGTGGGATCGTGTCAAGCCTAAGAACTGTAGAATACCTTGGAGGATCATTCTCCTCCCAAGGGGCGACGGGGGTGGTGCGTTACTCTCCTCTCTCCTGTTGTCTCTTGGTGCTACGACTCTACGACTTAGGATGCGGCGGAACAAAATATTGGGGAGGAACGGAGAGGAACCCGCAACGACGCGGAGAACCTATCGAGAACCAGAACTATTATCTGGTTTGATTCAGACTGACAGACTGACATCAACATTCAGGATTCAGGAGATTTGAGAGCAGGTAGAGAGTTGAGAGGGTTGAGATCAACTGAAGAAAGACAAACAAACAGCAAATTGTTCGGCGTGTATACTGTTGAGATCTTTAGGAGTGAAAAACTCTAGTCTGAGCTATGAGATTTAGCGCCGGGCGTAGGATTCTCTCTCGACGACAACAACTGCGCTTCAAGGTCAACAAGATGTCGCGAAAATCAAAGGTATGATTAAACATGATGCTGCACTTCATATCATCACACATTTCGAGCCTCGAGTATTTGAGACATGCTGTTTGCCTCCGACTCTGTCCTCCATGGCCTCTTACCTTTTTCCTCCCCCTCCGCGGCATCGCCTCTCCTCTTGCTGAAAATTCAGAGAGAGAGGCGCCCTTCGATACAACAGCAGCAGCTCGATCACTCCGGGCGTACAAAAGTTCGTTGTTCGGAGACGTGACGCCGGCACCGACAAGTAAAGATTATCGGTGTGCGAGCCTGAGAGGGCGTGCGCAGTCAAACGCCAGAGTATCTTGAACAATTAACTCCAGAGCCTGGTCTACAAACAGACTCTGTGGTGGTGAATCGTTTTGTATGGAAAGGGAGGAGCTCCCTCCGTCATGTTCAAATTTCGCCACCACAAAGATTTAGGAATGGTCCGTAGAACGTTTCGTGCGGTAGGGAAAACGCACCCGTGGGCAAGATGTTTCCTTACAAGCAGTTTCGCGAACCGCGGTCTAGGCTCTTTTCCTTGCCGTTTGTCGACAAAGACCCATCCAACAACATGCTTGTCTCGGCGATAAGCGTCTCAGCAGCAGCAGCAGCAGCAGCGGGTGTGTGCTGTGTGCCGCGGTCGCTTCGTAGGCTGTGGTTGTACAGCAGCCTACGGTTTCACTTCGAGTGCGGATGTAACTTGATGTGTGCCTCGGAACGAAGAAGCAAAGAATGATGTTTGATTACTGACTGACTCCCGCGTCAGGTTTTGATGGTGCTTAAGTGGAGTGAGCACAACGGGAGCGAGAGCACGCTTGTGTCTCATCTCGAAAACAAAAAACAAAATCACACAACCGTCCTCAACAGGGTTCTCCCGAGATCTACTCGCTGTACTGGTCTCTCGGGGTCTTTTCGGACAACCCAAGAAAGTTTCACCGTAAATATTCCCACAATCTCTCTGACGTATTCAGAGTCTCCGTGCTCGACTTCTACAAGCAGGTTATCTAGGACAAAACTCTCAACCTATTATCCCTAGGCTACACGCGTAGAACGCATGTATTTGCACATACATATATATGCATCACACAGACAGAGACGTCTTGTTGTGTTGCTGCAATCGACTACAGAGAGAATTGCGTGACTCATGATGCAATACTGCAGGTATCCAGCGTGACTCATGATGCTACTGGAGGTATCCAGCCATGATGCATATCTCCGACAGCTTGGTGCCTCCGCTTGAGAAAATGATGTACTGAACTGGTGGGCAGGCAACAAAGGGTACTGCATCATTGGACTGCCTAGTGACGACAGCGCGCACCGCCAAAAGTCAAGAGCGAAACTAGAACGCCGGTTCTCTCTCTCTCCCTCTCTCTGCGTTGGATACTGCTTACAGCAAACAATTGATCAACCAAGCCCTCTTTAAGTTGTCAGAGACAGACCAGGAAACGCTTACAGGAAATCACTGCTAGCACGGTGTCATGCGACGGCAGTTTTCACACAATGCAACGTGTGTATTACAACAAGACGACTACTGGAGAAAAGTTCTGCCAACCCCTGCGACCAAGGCTGAACCTTCCAGCCGGAAAAACAGGACCGCCTCCGCGAGGAAAACAAGTTCAAGAGGAAATAGAACATCGAGGGGGTACGAATAACCCGTCCCTAACCCTAACCCTATCCCAACTTCCCCGATAGCTTTATCCAACATGTTTACTTCATAGAAAACCCTGCAAAGGCTACTGGAAAAACATCGTCACCGCCCCCCCCCACCCCCCCCTAAGTTATATTAGCAGACCCCAACACGAACAACACCATGTACTCCTCCGGTTGCTTTGTTATGCTTCCAGCTGGATGGATGACCCAAACCGCGCGTACAATTCCTTCTTAAGGACCTGGGCAGGGGGGACGGTGCGGCAGATGAATTTAATCGGTGTCCCAAGAGGGATAGCTTCAAGTATTTAGGACCATCTCTGGAAAAAGACGAAGTGGAACGAAGCAAGGGGATGACCCAATCACTGCTGTTGAGGCGAGGACCGCGGGCGAGCTTACCCTGTGGCGTGCTGCCAGGGAAGACCATCGCCTCCTACCACCAAGGGGTGGGGATTGTGCTGTCTCGACACAGCCGCGTGCGCCGCGCTATCGGCACTTGGCCCAAAAGAAACAAAACAACACAACAACCAACGGCGAATTTTCATTGATCGACGTTTCCTTTCCCTCGAAAGGACAACGATGCAGCGACCGCGCTGCCACCGCCGCTGCCAAGAAGGCCATCGGGCCAGGATAAGATATGTCGTAAGAAAAGACTGAAACGACCATGCTAGCAAAACCTCCTGCATGCATCCACTCGGTATGATCACACCAGGCGCAAAGATCGACGCCCCTATTCGTCCACAAGTCCCACCAATGTCGCTCGGAAGGAGCAGAAAAGCCGCCGCGGACAGAAGTAGCCGTGCAAACGCTCGGCTGTTGTAACTCACCCCTTGTCGTAGCAGAATTGTTTTCTCCTCGTCTACGAGATCGTCCAACTTCGATTGCCGTTTCTTGGGTGCCAGACGCACGAAGCAGGGAGCGCGGTGACGGCAAGGGCAAAAGAGAAGCACGCGGTAAACACCTCGATACAATGCGAGATGGCGAACACACCACACATACTACTGTCGTAACCCTCCGCCTCCATTCGCACACCTGTGTCAACAACCTTGGTGGTCTCTCCGGCAAGAGCGTCATAGATACATGCAAACGACTCTCCCACGGCGGGAGAGGGTGATGTGCTCCAAAAAACTGCTAGCGCCCCATTCTTACTGCTTCAGGGGGGGTGTGCTAGCCAACCATGTAGGTCTACGTATTTCTCTCCCTCTCTCCATATCCTCAGCTTCCAATGGCGGTACGGGTGGCTACTTGGTCTTGGCGGCCAACGACAGTCGTAGGGTAAGTAAATAACAAACAAAGACGCAAACAGACACGCACCGATACACACAACGTTGCCCCCGTTTCGGAGACCACGATACTTAGCCGCTGACGCCTTCTCATTGATCAGCCGGATAGCCGGATAGTGCGGTCCACGCTAGCGAAAGAAACACAAACATGTCGAAGCGTTTCTTCCCGAGACACGGGTGTGTCTCATTGGTCAGGTGAGCTGTAGCACGGTCGATGTGTGTCAGACACACGCAAGCCTCCTATTGATGACTTCAATCGGTTTGCGCGGTCGATGCCAAAGGAACACAAACACTCAAACGCGCAAACAAGCACTCAATCGTTCTTACGCCGCTGAGACAACCGGGTATTTCGTTGGTTTTCCCAGTAGCGTTTGATGCTGCACGAAAACCCGAAAAAACCAACCAAGCACACCCTCTCTTCCTCCCACCAACGGTTGACGCAAGCACAACGAACGACCCACCTCCTGCTGCCGCTCACAGTAGTCCGTGGCGAACTCCTCTTCGCACTCCATGAAACTGTCGCCCAGCATGAGCATCACCGAGTCGCCTTCGCCGGTCATGAGTTCGGTTGTCGCATCGTCCAGCTTGTCCAAAATGTCCTGTCGGTTCGTTTTAGATTTGCCGTGTAATGTAGGCACAGGGAATGGAATATGTCAGATGGTTGTGTAGCGGGATGACAACGCCGACGCCGACGGTGCGGTGCGCAACTTGATACTGCTATATCTAGTACACCACAATACGAAGGGTGCACTCAAAAGCAGTACCGCTACATTAGTCTACTGCGGCCATTGGTTATCTACATGTAGTGCTCCTGATGGAAACAAAGCGAAAGAGACGGCACCTCGCCCAGGTTTTCGGATCTACACACAGCATACGGCTACTGCTGTACGGGGGGGGCGTACTCTTGTTTGCATGCCGTAGTGGTTTGACAATCTACCACGCGGGGTGGGGGGTAGGAACGGCAAGCTTCTACGTACCTTGATGTGCGACTTATCATCCCTGATTTCCAAGAGACGGGTGTTGAGGCGGCCGAACTCGTTGATCTTCTGCTGGTCCTCGTACCTAACCTATTGTAGCATCGATCGGCAGACACGGCAGGAGGCAAGAAAACAAGACCACGGGGTGCTTTGAGTTCGTGAACAGAATACTGGTAGGTCGAGCAAGACGGAGAGCAGGTTTGACACTCGAAAACAAACACCTGAGACGGGAAAACAGCTCTTGCTCGAATGACCAAGTACTACAGTAGTCATGAACCGGGGGCATCGGATGTGTTTCGTGATGTATATAGTGGTAATAAACAAGAACCGTCAGCCGAAATGTCCTTCTCCGCCCTACAGCAGCTTGCCAAAATAGCTTTTCCCGCATCCAGGAAGATCCCGCCTCGATTCCCCCCCCCCTCGTTTAGTCGGTGCTGCTGCTGCTTACATGTAGACTACGCGATGGTTGTGCGTCTCACGGACGACTCGACGAAAATCATCACCTCTGAGACATCGGGCGTTAAAACTCATCTCTGCCAATTTACTCACTAATTTATACCCGCAGGGGTGATGTCCCTATATGCTGTCTGGGAAATCGTAGACATACAGGTACTTTCTGACGCTATGAATTCATTACTAAATAATCTGTCTCAGACTCTATGATAGAGATGGATTCGTTGTGTCATATTAACCCTTACGTGACTACACCCCCGAATCGGGCATGTTAGCAGGCACGATAACTCTTATATGCGACAACTTTCGAACCGAATTGAGCTGTGGATACCTGCGTCGACGACGGCTCGACGGTACGACTAGACCGCTCGAAAAGAAACAAAGTAACGACCGGGGACAGAAACAGCACGTCCCCTATACAGAAAATTGAAAGCCTGGGAGTTGCAATGCTCCGCAGCACCCTGCATCCCGCGCTGCTGCTGTGCTGCTGTGGACCTCAGTCCAGCACGCAGAAACGCCATAATGATGCTGTTTTTCCTCCTGCTTGTTGCGATTTTTCGCACGAGCGCTATGGACGGGGTTCCTGTGTATCACGTTCGCAAGGAACAGGAGCTAGCTCCCCAGCCGGCTGCGTTGGGCCAACGGGTACAGCAGCACATCGATGGATCTGCGTCGCGCATCATTTGCAGCACATAATTGACAAGAGGTGGGAGGGTTATGGTCTTGCCCGACCGCGCTGGTGTGTATACCGTAAAGCCGGATGGCCACTGCGGGTTTAGTGCGATGTCCGCGGGTCTGCAGGTTTGCCTCGGTAGAACAAGGGCCGCCCCCACCCCAGAGAACATGAGGAGCGTGGTCGCCCGTCGAGCCACGGAACATGTTCTTGGCGCATCCGGTGTTGAGGACTTGACAGCTGTACTCTCACCAGACCAGCTTGGGCGGGCCCGGAGTGTGCGTATACCGGATGTTTTAGGAGCTGCCGTGGAAGAAATGACGGCGCCGGAGGATAAGACGGTCGGTTGGTTTCGCGAGAAAGCCCAGCTAAGTGCAACAACAAAATGGATTGACGTGACCTGGTTCTCTTTTCTGGCGTCGGAGTACGGGGTGAACATCATGTTGTGGGAGCCAAGCCCCACGTACGGCACAGTTCAGCCGTACTCAGCAGCCCTCACGGCAGGCATGTTCTTGTTCGAGAAAAAAGACAAAATGGACGAGGAGGGGGATCGCTGGGTGCATCTGCTCTATCGGAAACACGACGATCCGTGGGCAGCGCGCGAGGGTGTAGGTGAGGCAGGCCATAAACAGCACAACCACTTCGACCGTCTGCAGCTTGGACTCAACGTACATACTTCCTTCATCGATGTCGTCAGAGTTGCAAAGGAGAAAGCGCTAGGAATGGCGGCGCCGGTGCCGTCGGCGAGCGCCACGGCCGGGAAGAAAGCGCCAGGGTCCGCAAAGGTGGACGGAGAAGAGGTGGACGATCCCGAGTTCAGCATGAGACCAAGCGGCAGCAACAGCAACAACAGCAGCAGCAGCAGCCGGCAAGCGGAGGGAAAGGCTGCAGCGGGAAAGAAAAGCAAGGCGAAGATCGGGAGTAAGGTCGGGGTGAAGCGACCAACCGAGAGGCAGCCAGGGGACAGCAAGAGGCACAAGGCGGGGGGTGCACCGGGGAAGCAGCGCAAGGCGGTTGGTGTGCCGGGGAAGCGCAAGGCGGGGGGTGCACCAGGGGAGGGGAGGGGTGCCGCAAAGAAATGCAAGAGTACGCCGACGGGTAGGAGGAAATCGGTGAAGAGCAACGGCCAAGTAGACGAAGCCAACTATGATTCCGACGGCAGCATCGGGGGGGGGGACCACGAGCGAACCCAGGGCTCCTTCGCTAGCATGTCGCAGAACGACAAGAAGGTGGTGGCCGCCATGAAGAAGATCCAGGAGCTCAAGTACAGGCGGGCGTACTTGCTGAGCAACAAGAGGAGGGCGCGGGGTCTAAAGGTGGGTTTGTGTTCGTGTAGACTTTTCTCTTGGCATTTTCCAGGCGAATAGGCGGACCTAAGAGAAGACGACGATTTATGGTGGTGCAAAAGTTGAGTCCGATAAATAGTGCGAATCAATACTGCTGTAGCAGTTTCTTACGTTTTTTTTTTCGCTTGGAATACCGAGTAGAGAGTGCCCTATCAACGCTGAACAAACGCGTGTCTAGGTAGGCACTTTGTTTCGCCTCGTGTGGTCGCTAGTCTCTACCAAAAATAATCTTAGAAGTGTTGGTAAAAAGCACCTGGTTGCTTGCATGATCATGTTGACGCCTCCGTGCCTGGCTCCTGTTGCTCAACACGGGTGTGGTTTCCAATGTTGGCAGGGGGGCAACGAATGTCGAGTTCACGATTCGGAGTATGTAAATGCATGTGCGTGACCTGAACACCCTACTGGCCCTGTATGGTGTTACTTTTGATCGCCGTGTCAGTTTCATGTGAATCTCTCGCTCGCTCGATTCGTAGGTGTTAGTGACACCGTCGCCTCGTACGACTTTATTTTTTTTCGGATGATTGAACACAACACGGCAGGGTATGAATTGACACACCTGCCGCTCTGTTTCCGCTGTTTGCCGACGACGTGCTCAACCCAGCTCAAGGCCATACGCGACAGGGAGAAGGAGAGGCTCAAGAAAGCGGCAGAAAAGGAAAAAAAAAAACAGCTTCGGCCGCGGCAGGAGGTGGAGGAGGAGGAGCGACAAGAGAGAGAGGAGCTAGAGAAGCAGCAGCAGCAGGAGCAGGAGGAGTTGAAAGCTGAGGCGGAGGAGTACCCGGAGGTGGCGTGGACCGACCGCGGCATTCCTGACTTTGCGGGAACGACGGACCACAAGAAGAGAACCCGGCGGCAAGCGGTCAGCGCTGCTTCGCTGTCGGCGTCCGCGCGATCGAAGTTGCCCTCTCTCGATACCTTCATGGGCGGCCGCGACGAGAACGGAGAGTTCCCGCTGAGTGGTTTGATGAAGACGTGCTTCAACATGATGTTCCCCGACAAGGCAGTAGATCTTTTCGTGCAAAAGGTGAGCATTGGTGTTTTCGTGTGGTCGCATTCCTTATTAAGTTGCACTCGAACAACTCACTAGGGGGGTTGCACGCAAGTAAGAGACCGAGCCGTTATGCGTCGGACTTGAAAGTAGTTCCGCGGGAAGGGGGGGAGGGGGGGGGGCGGGATGAATTGTATGCCCTTTGTTGGTGTTTACACTGCATGATGTCGTCTGCATGCCTTGGTCGCTTAATCATACTGGCCGAATGTAGATCACAGCTCATCAAGATTGTCAAACACACGGGGGTTTATGCGGTGTTCATGCATACTTCCCTCCTGACGTGCTACGTACCAGCGTATCGTGCATGGGGTGGTTTGCAAGGGCGGATGCAATACCGCGGAATGTACTCCGAGTAGAGAAGCACCCTCCCCCCCCCCTATCCAGCGCGCGGGATCCCTGTTATGTATGTTGTAATTTGATTACCGATATCCACCCGACCAACCCAACAATTGAAAGCGGGTACTAGGTAGATGCCTGAGAACACAGTCTGTTGTGGCCCCTTGCGGTATTGCTTACGTTCCAAGACACCCGCGGAAGGCGTATGCGGATTAATTTAATCAAACATGTCTGTGCTGCCACGGCTTGCATCAACAATCATTGTGTATATATACGACACCTCGGCGCGACCTCTGGGGCGAATATGCTAATCTTCGCTCCGTCTTGTTGTCCCTGACCTCTTCCGCGCGAAACGTGATACTTTTCCAGACCAACAAGTACGTGAACCTTTGCACCACACCACCACCCCCCGGAGCTACGGAGAAGCGCAAGGAGCATCAGATGAAGAAGACGAGAACTCTAGGCAGGGTCACCCTGCCGGAACCCGCATTCGAGCGCAAGCACATCTACGGCATGCTGGGCATCACGATCACGATGGGGCTCACCAAGAAAACGCGCATGAGGAAGCACTGGAGTAGATCGTTGCACGACGACTATCCTCTAGTGAGGGCGTGCATGCCGCGTGACTTGTTCGAGCTGTTGTACTGCCGTTTCATCCACTGCTCGGACGGCAACGCTCCTCCTCGATTGTTGGACGAGGACAACACCCCTAACCCGGACTTCGATTCGAAGTGGCACATCAGGTGAGTTTTACCCGTCGGAGACTTCGAGCGTTCTGACTGTTGGACCACGCTCCTCCATTTTTTCATGTGGTGAAATAAAACGGCCTCCAAGCCGGCAAGTACCCTAGAATCCAAATCCAAAGGGTTCATGTCGTTGTACCTGTCGTTGCCCTACACCACCCGCCCTCCCCGTGGAATACTACACGTGACCACTACAGTAGCGTACAGTTGTACACCACCCGCCCTCCCCGTGGAATACTACACGTGACCACTACAGTAGCGTACGGTTGGGATGATCATAGCTACGGACTAGCGTGGTTGGTGTGTGTAATCAATAGGCGAGCATTCGTATGTCCGTTCGTGTCCCACGAATGTTCTACAACAGATTAACCAACGCCACACCTCCGTGCTAATCTTGACGTCGCTTCACCGGCAGAGAGCTCGAAGACATCTTGAACACCGCGTGGACGGAAAACATGGACTTCAACCAGTGGCTGTGCTACGACGAGCAGATGGTGAAGACTGTGTCGAGGTACGCGCACTTCCTCATGAGACACCAGCCCAAGAAGCCCATCACCCACGGTACGCGGTTTGTGTTTCGTGTTGTATGGACGATTCCTGCCGACTGTGTGTTTTCCTTGTGACGGCCTTGCGGTGTGAGGGCTCGGCGGCTGGGGACATGGGCGAAGACCTTGTATAGTATTCGGTTTTTAAGGGCCACCATGTGGTGGAGTTGTCATTTTTGCTTTGTGGAGTTGACCCCCCCCCCCTCTCCCTCTACTGGAAAAATAGGAGCAGGAACATTTGGCG